AATACTATTACTTACTAATATTAATGATGATGATGATGATGATGATGATGATGATGATGAAGATGATGATGATGATGATGATGACGATGACGATGACGATGATTAGTTAATCGATTGCGATGATGGGTGACGATGATGGGTGACGATGATGGGTGATGATGATGGTAATGCTGATGATGTAAAATAATTGAATCGATACCAGTGGCTCAACTTGATGAGGCCTGAGGACTTAAGTAGGCTTGGGCCCCTCCTGGGGGAAATTCTTTTTAACGGTATTATGCACTCCTGCATTCTGAGGCCCACCTGAAAGTTATTTCAATGCCTTTTAATGTTTTTTTTTTAATTTTGAATTTTTCTGGGGGTTGGGGCCCGTTAAGGAAGGGATCAACCAGTCTCTATAGAAGTTATCAATACAATAACCATACGTCAGAGGAGAAAACAAACAAGTACCCTTAACAACAATCAATCAATGATACAGCATGGCAATATTACAGTAGACCTTACAGGCGTTAATGATGGGTTTTAGGGACACTAATAGCAACAGTTGCTAATAATATTAAAGGGCCTTGGTAATACTGGCGTCGTTAAACCCTTAGATTTAGTCCAGGAGCCATCGACGTCTTACTGCCGATTGGAATGGTGTAATTGTCCCTATTTACAACACCTTTAATTTCTCGATGCTTATTTAAAGCCTGTAAATCTAACTTACCACATAAGTTAACTTCCGGTATACCAATATCTAATGAGTCTAGCACTGTATCAAAGTTGGTTGCTCTTTCAACATATCCAGTTCCAGAAGCAATATCCGACAACTCGCTGTCCAAAACATCGCCTCCGACACCGACAGCGTACACGGTAGCACCATCTGCTTTAGCTGTTGTAGAAGCATTCTTCGTAAGTTCCAAATTATCAGAATAACCATCAGTTATAACTATCAGAACCTTATCTTCACCAGTTCGTCCTGTATCTAACATAGTCAGACCGGAATTTATACCAATATCAGTTCGGGTACCTGCTTCGGGATACGGGAGAGCCATTATAGCTGCTTCAAGCGCTGCCTTGTCGGAAGAGAGAGGGATTTTACCAGTTGACGCTACTGAGGAACTGTATACCACTAAACCAAGATTGATATCGTTACCGCTGACTGGTAACTCAGCGCATAATCTGCTA